GGGGGGGGGGGGCACAATTTTTTGTTAATGTAAAATTACAATATTGGAATTACTGTCGACCATGAACTAAGATAAAACTATCTTAGTTTGTGCATTCTAGAATGATACGTATAATAATATATTATATTATCAGACATACATGCAATTTGAAATATAGTAGTATTAGGATCTGTATAGAATTATTAAAAATTTGGGTAGTAATATGTCTGAAGAGGGGAGGCCTAAGCCCCCCTGGATCCGTCCGTGATATCTACTAATATGTACAGCTGATATTCCAACCAACACTGACTGAAGAAACTACACCTCTATGTTTGCCGACGTTCCGGCAATTTTAGCAACAAGCAGTTTTTGATTGTGCCTGAGTGTCTTATGACTGAAAACTTACAGACCTCAATCGACCACATCTCTAGTTGAACGAGGCGTTAAAAAAACAATAGTGATAAGTCGGTTATTAACCGACAATTCCCAAGTGTGAAGGGTCAATTTACATTAGAGGTACTACTATTAACATGTTCACGTAATAATATATACTTTTTATTTATATATTATTTATACTGATAATCTTGTATACACCCATTATACATAGTATTTATAAATACCTCTGGTTGTGAAAATAATAATGCCTTAGGCAATGGTCGAAGTAGCTCAAAAAAAGTGGAGGAATGCCTACATTTTTATAATTTTCTTATATTTTTATGGTTTACAAATAGAAGGTGATTGTGTTGAAAGATGAGTTGTACCCCTATATCTTATTTCAGTTGCGTAATTGGTGGGGGGAGGTACAGAGTGTACATTTGCACCAACTTTTTTTAAAACGCCTTCTTATGCCTACCAAAAATAAGTATAAGCGTCGATATACCTAAGTGTTCCAAATTATTTATTTTTTTATTTTTTTGTATTTAAAAAAAATGTTTTGTGCTTATACGTGTTTTATTTCGAAAAATATTCGATGTGATCCGAAAGTATTATAATTGATCGACAACAAAAACAAAAATTATAGCAAAAATACTATTATGAATGGTAAAATAGATCTAGTTGTCATGATAATATTTATACTACAATACGATTAATTCGTAAGAATGAGTGTGTGGTGGTCCGCTCTCTATAATAGCCAAAAGTGCATGGATTGTCAGTCTGGGCAATAATGCAATATTAAAAATGTTGGCCCAGACACGCCTTTATTGGTAAATAGCTTCTCAGCTTGTAGTACAGAGCAATAATATATTAATTATGCTTTTAGACTGTAGTCCAGCGGGAAAATCCGCCATTTTTACTCACACTATTTCGTATATACTTCGAGGCCTGGAGTGGCTCCCTCCAAGATACCCCTAACCTATAACCAACGCCAGTAGGTTGTTGGGACTTTATAATATTATCTACTCATTAAATTTTGAAAGTAAGAAAGCTCATAAATAATATAAGTGACATTATAAATACCCTATAGTTGTAAACTATACAAATATCCTATATTTTTTGTTAGACCAAATGTTAAAAATACTTAATTCATAAAAAAAAACAACATTGTATTCTTGTAACAATAATAAAAAAATCATAAATCAAATTTAAATTAATCAATCATAAAAATCAAAAAATCACAATTTTCATGAAAAACACCAATATCAAACGATACTCTTTGTCTATAACTATAGGGAGGGATGGGTTATCTTGGACAAAACAATTGGAGGGATGGAAAATGCGAATTATAAAAAGTGGATAGATGCCATCCCACTGTATCCCCTCTCACTTTGACTACTAGTCTTAGGGCAGTCAAACAAAACAGAATTTTTTTCGAATATTCAATTAGAATATTTACAGAAATGTATGTACTTTTTTCTCGTCATATACAACTAGATATATAAGAGTCATCAACATACATTTTTGAACATTTTCCTTACATTTTCAGAACACACCGTTCACTAAATAGCTTCTTGAATATACTTTCCATATATATTTACACAGTTTAGGTAAGCTAACCACGTTACAGGTCTATTTTAATCACTAATATTATTTTCGATATTAAAAATGTTGCTTTTACATATCTTTTAAGTTTTGACTGAATATCAATTGACACTACGTAATTTATTCTCCAGTACAATTTGAATATTACCTTATTGTAGGATCTTTTCCAAATCTATCATGAGCATGTAAACAATTTTCAATGCGCATTTCAAGGAAATGTAGTCTTGTCATCATTAGTTAATTTATTTATCGGTGTATTTATTTAGTTAAGGATGTACTTAAGCTTACAGTTAAACTTTTGTTATTTTAAAAGGATGTCATCTTGATATTTGTTTTCTCTCTCAGACCAATATAGATGAAGCGCATTTACCTAAAATCGTAAAGTACCTAGTATAGAGTAACTACAGAGTAAAATCACTTTTACAAAAATTTTTGAGGATAGGTAATAATTTTGAGGGTTTGACGTATCGGTTTTATATTTTATTTGTATTCGACTTTCCAAAAAGAAAAAAAGTTTCAATGATGTTTAAATTGTTTTGGGACAATATTAAGACAAATCGATATGTCATACTCCCCAAAATATTATTCTCTCTTCAAGTTTTGTAGTGGGTGATTTTACTCTAAGATTACTCATAATTATTATTATGAGTCATAAATATAAAAAAAAATGATTCTCACTAAATGAGTTTTGTCGATGTTGCGCGTGGGATAAAAAAATAAAACCAACAGTTCGCCTCCTCTTAATGAAATGTTTTGGTGCATTGTGGTTTCTTTAAACGTGACTTTTTATCTGAATTTTGTGTGTTTTTTATTTAAAGTTTAGCAAATATTATGTTATAGTTTATTTATTCACATAAAATGCATAACTTATATCGGTTTGTTTGTGAATTATCGATGTTATAATATTGCAATGTCTTGATTGCTTAATACTGGTGTCAAAGAGCATTCGAATACAAAGTAAATGACAACACATTTATCCTATAAGTATTCTTAGAATTCTTTTAACATTTAAAAAAATAAAAAGTCCTCATCCCCGTTTTCAAACATTGCACCTCTTCCTACTTTATGCTTTCCACAAATGTTTATGTTTTTTTAGTCCATTAATACTGGATATGTGTTTACTCATGAGTTCTGAAGAAATGGAGTTCATCATTGAGTGTAATTACTGATTCATTTTAATTTTTTTTGTTCCTTAAAAGTATAATATTATGTAGTTCTATTTGAAGTAAAAATGATGAAGAATTTTTTTATTGTCTCGTTTTCACCAAAAAAAACCTTACACCTGAAATGTTTTTACATCACTTTTGTATAATATAATATTTGAGAGGTCAAACAAAAAATTAATTATAACAGATTATTATTTACAATAAAGTAAAATTTCAAATATAGTCGGTATAAAACATAATATTGAATATTTAAACCAACACTTAACTAAGTCGCTGATATGTAAAACATTATTAAATTATTTATAATTAAAATTAAAATATTAAACACATTTATAAAAGATTAAATGTTTGCGTGTTTATTTTTCAATGCATAGGTGATCGAAGAATCTATAAAATTTAGAATTGATTATGAAAAATCATCAATATTTAAATATTTAAAAATGCATACTTATTTCATAAAAGGAAATAAACTAAATTATATTACGGATACTGGATAATGTGTCCAAGGTTGCAGCTGGGACAAATTAACAGAAGGTTAAAATCAAATCATATATTTTCATAATGATTAAAAAACGAATATTGACCTAAAACTAACCTTGAATATATAAAAAAAGTAGCTAAATAAGTTAATGCACCTAGATAAGTTTTTTTAATCCATTTAGGGAGCACTAAATTTATATTGACATATTATTATTGAGTAATCTAAAAATAAATACATTTATATTATATTATTACATATTTTAATCATTATTTTAACCTTCTGTTAAAAAAAACAATTATTACTGATTAAAATTAACATACTATATTGTTTTCATCAACTTTTAATTAGTATTTAGTCATATAATATTAATAATTTAAGAAAATATTTAAGGTTTACTTCCTATGAACCAAGAAAGGTGTTAATCTTGAATCAGGAATAATAATATAGGTAAAGCAGATTTTAAAGAAATTATCACTTTATTTTCAAATCTCCAATTTAGAAGAAAGTTATGAGAGTATCAGGATTATTATCATTAATAAAATATTTAAGATCAGAAAAAATTCAGTAATAATAAATGATATATTTTTTTCAGTTTATATTTTATTTTGACAATACCTATGTATATACCATAATATTACTCAATTCCTTCGATATATTTTATTAAAATGTCCATGAATTTTTATTACAATAAGAAAAAAAAAATTAAATTTTAATTCTTTGTGATATTTGTTATTGTACTTATACTTATTTTATAAAAACCATAGTTTACACATCAGCATGTATTCAAGGACTTTTAAAGTACTCAAATACGTATTTTAAAATTCTTTTTCAAAATATCTGTTTTAAAAATCAAGTACTTTAACAATTATTTTTAGTTTATATATTGTATATTTTAATTTTGATCACGTAAAATAAAAATAAAAATGTTTACTAATCTATTTTTTTTACTGTGAATTATACTCGACCAAAAATCAAATACTTCGACAGTTCGACAAAGAAAACAGTCGAGTATTTTAAAGTCCCACTAAATGATACGGTATAAAAATGTGGTATAAAAAATTAACGTAAGACATGAAAATTGTTTCTGTTGATTTAATAGGTAAAAAATATATTTTAAAACAAATTTGAAAATACATATAAATATACTTTTTTCTGAGCATTCAAATATTTAAGCATTTTAAATACTTTTAAAAATAGTCAAAACAAGCCTACTTATATCTTTACGGACCTTTCAAACAGTGGAAATGAGATCTGTAAGTTGTGTTAAGTTATGTTAAGTAACGCATGATTCTCTTTGTTCATAAGTGTTGGGTAATGTTATCAAACACAAGTATTAAAATTATGGTATTATGGCTTCCACCTGATGTCCGGAGCCTCGAAGGGCTCTCAAGAATTGATCAAATATCTCCGCATAATACAATTTAATGTAGAATGCCTTGTCTTACCAAATTAAATGTAAAAACTAATATTGTTAAAACAAAGTTTATTATTTATTTATAATATTTTATAATATATCTTGTATTATGCAAAGGGTGATTCGCCAAGCATGTTCAGTGCTCACGCTCATTTTTCCCTTTATAATGAATTCCATTGAAATCCATCAGAGGATCCGTACGTGTATTGTAAGGTTCCGAAGTGAAGGCGTCCGAAAGTAAGGCGAAGCGACTTTGGGTCGAGTAAAGGTACGTGAAAGTGCACTTTTAAGGTTGCCAACACATGTTCTCCAGCCACCATCGGCGGCGAGACGGGATAGCGGGCGTCGCGCGCTCGAGGACGTTTAAACGCGAGACCCTCTGTAGGCGCGGCGGACGCCCGGCTGTTTCGGTGGCGAGCAACGACGATACGACGACGGCGGCTAGCGGTACCATCGCGGGCAACGACACCGCCCTGCGACACTTGCAATGATGATTGCAGTGCTGAACGAAGACGACTAGTGGCGGTGGCCGCGGCGAGGACCGCAGAGCTCACGGGGGCGGGTGATAGAAGTCTAAATAATTAAAGGGTAGCTATAGAAACAAGGACATCAGCAGCGATGGAATCTACAGAAAACGAAACGTTTCAGCCGTTTCAGGGTTCGGCGGTGCGCGACTCCGTGGCAGGTCATCGGTTGCGGCAGACACAGTGCCGGCGGAACGCCAGGGCGAAATTACTGGAAGTATCAGGACGGCGGTGCGCCGCGGTGCTGTCGGCAGATTCTCTCCCAGTTTCGCCTAGTGGTGTCATCCCAAGATCTATAGATTGTTATTATTCCTTATAGAGCTTGCTTGGGTCACCGTTCGTCTCCGGCACAACAGTCAACGTCTTCACCAGTGGCGTACACACACGGGGGGGGGGGGTGTTCAACCCCCCCCCCTTTAGTATTTTTTCAGTTTACGTAATTACGTAAAAATGTATAAAAAAAATGATGACAATTTAAAAAAAAATTAATAGTACTAATTAAAAAAAATACAAAATTAAATTAAGGGAATTACAGTGTTACCGTCACAATCGAGTTTCGATTAAAAATGTACGGCGAGAAGACCGTCGTCACCGAAGTTATTATTTAATAACAATTATTATTAGATATGGGATATTCCAAATTATACTCCATTATATTATAACATCATATTTTAAACTGAAAAATAATTATTTACACAGGACAGATTAAATGGATTGACCATGTTGTCGGTATACCGTGATATAAATTTAACTCCTGAAAAAGTCATTGATGAGTTGGGACAAAAACCCAGGAAAATAGTCATTGTTTTATAATGAAAATAAATATTAGTTAAACAACATATTATTTTGATTTATCAATGAATAATATATATATGTATATATTTTTTTATAAGTTTTGGAATGTATTGCATGCACGATTATTGCATGTAAAATCTTCGTATACGTGATTTATGAGTATATTATATATGTATTATGTTTATCTTATTTTTTTTCTTTATAAAGTATACAAAAAAAAAACAAAAGGCCATTGAACACATTTTTTGACACTAATAAGGGGCGATTGTAAACTCTCCCGATGGTAAACTCTCCCGGGTCTACTCCAGTACTACCTGACGAAAACGTGTAAACTCTCCCGGGTCTAGTTTAGTACTACCTGAAGAGAACATGTAAACTCTCCCGGGTCTAGTAAAAATCATAAAATAAATTTAATATACATTTAAGTTGTGTTTAAAAATAGTCAATCATATATAATAATAATAATAATAATAATAACAATATAAATTAATGTCTTTAGCTGCTATGAACATGATATTATAGTCAAAATACAATAAAAAATAAAATTTCAAAAACTCCAATATACATTTAAGTTTCTATTAAAAATAGTCAATCACAATCTCTGCAGTGTAGCCAACTCGTAGTGTAGCAATAACATTTAAAACAACTCGGGAGAGCTTACATACTTTCTACAGGTAACTATAAAGTTGACCCGGGACTCGGGAGAGTTTACACATTTACATCAGGTAAACATATATTTGACCCGGGAGAGTTTACACATTTACTTCAGGTAAACATAATATTAACCCGGGAGAGTTTACCATCGGGAGAGTTTACTATTTTGAAAAATCGGGAGAGTTTACCACCGCCCCTAATAAGGATGGTAGGTAGTTACGTAAATCCTAATTCATTAAAATGTCAATCAAAAGTGTAGGTATAAAGCACATCTGGTGTCGTTTAAATCAACATTTTATGTCCGCGGTACAAAATCAATATTTCCAAATTGACTTTAGCAGAAGTCAGTGTATATAAAGCCTAAAAAACCTTTCTAGAGTTATAACAGATAGAGCCCCACTAATCGTAGAAAAAACGAAAGTGTCGGTTTTTATTAAACAAGATATTACTGCACTTATTAGTGCTTTATACCTACAACTGATACAATTTCAATGAATTGTCCATCACAAAAAACTTGAGAGTAAAATCTGTTGATTTTCAAATTGTAATGAAGGATGTTGTAATAATAGTAAATTGTAGTACATCAAAAGCATTGATTCATATAAAATTTAAAAATTAGGTACAATATTAGGTTTGCTGAAAACAGTGAGAGAATATATTTTACAGATGTTCCTTGGATGGCAGGATCATTAGAGAATATGTCTTAAATAAGTTTTAAATTTAAACATCAAACTATTTGAATTTGCTGCAAGTAATATTTTATTTTTTAACATCCCTTAAAATATAGACATAGTTACGCTTATGCAGTTCAACATAGTCTGTATTATATAATAATGAATTGCTAATAAATACAAATTACAGTAGTAAAAAATAATTTCAACGGTTATTCAGATTCATCCATATATTAAATTAGATTTTTATTTAATATATCTGTTTACAAAAAAGAAGAAACAGTTTAAATTACAACACATAATTTTAGTTCATACAATTAAATTTCAAAACGTTATTTAGGTATGCATTTATAATTTGTTACAAATTGATACTTAAAACAAAATAACGTTCTCAATGAACTATACAATTATAATTACAATATAATAAACCTTTAAAATAATTAAAATCACGTGTATCAGAGCAAGTACATTTTATATAGCTTTTCATGATCAGGATTTTTAAAATGAGGAACAAAATTTATTTTAACTATTTCGTCAATACCTTCACTTTTGGATGGTTCTTGGAATTTTGAACTGAAAAATAAGTAAGTAAACATATATATTTTAAGTAATGATGAACTTAAATACTACTGTGATGTTCTGACTTTAAAATAATAAATATTTTCTTACACATAAATTGAAAAATAAAAGAATTATAAATAAGATTATATTAAATAAAATTCAACACTAATAGTTTCTATAAAGAAAAAACATTAAGTGTACTTAAAATTTGTTAAAATAAAAAAGTCTAATAAGAGTTTACTCAAAATCAGTAAGCCAATATTCGATTTAATATAAACAGAACATAGAATCGAAAGTGTTTGTCAGGGTCGGACTGTTTATTTTTGGTCCAGGGTGGAAATTAATTAGGGACCCATATGTTTTTTATTAAACTTGCTAAAATCAGGAAAAAGTTTTACATTATGATAAGAGTTAAAGTTAAGAAAGGGCCCAGGTCATCATTATGAATGGAGACGCGGAATACTACTTAGTTTATAGCACCCTGAGCCAGTCCACCCTAGTGCAAGTGTAGTTGTTGTAAAATGCATAGTTAAAATAAAAGTAAAAATATGTTTCATAGTCAGTTTATTTAATTAAAAGCAATTATAGTATTTGTTTTTGTATATTTAATAATATTTATATATACTCTACCTATAGTCTATATTTTGTTGTTATTCTTAAACAAATAAATTTCAAATGTAATCAAATATTAAAACTCAACTAAAACCTATAAAAAGTTAAAATATAAAAATAAATTATTTTCTTATTTCATTATTTCAATGTTTTCTAATTGGTATAATATTAAATATTATGATTAACCAAATTAACAACAAAAAAAATATTTCAAAAATATTTTGATGTTTAAGTTTTTGAAGAACTCAATCATTTGCATAAAATGATTTAACATAACATAACCATTACAATGACCTGGGTATTAATTTACAAAGTATACTCAAAGGCTAATATATAAAAAACTGACTTCCACAGTTTTTACACTAACATTGGATATAACGATTATTCTAAACAAAATAAAAAATTTTAGACAAGAATGTATGTATTCAATAAATTATTTTTAAAATTAGCACCTGTTACACCTATAACTACAAGGAATGATGCTTTAGTATACTTACAAATACGTATTAATTACAGCATCTGATACTTTTTGGTGTTTTCTATCAGTTAGTTCTCGAAACTGTATAAAAAAAAAATTATATCATTTGATAATTATTTTATGTAAATATATAAAATGGTTTTTTTTGCTAGTGGTTTGAATTTCAAACAACAATAAATAACATAGATTTCTGAACAATAATAATAATAACAGAATAGAGTAAACAATTTTCAAACATGCCTATATATTTATAGGCACATTTTTTAAATTAAATTTAATAAAATATGTGGTTATTAAAAATAAAAATGTGCTTATCTTTACAAAATCTAACAAATTTTAAAGTAAACATTAAATAAACTTCATAGCATAATATTCCACAGATTTTAAATATATAATTTAAGAGTGATTTTGTTTTTATACTTACTTTATTGTTATGTTTTCCATGGTCTTTGGATACATTCATTAAAAATACTCGACATGGGACTTTTAAACTTTTAGCTAGATCAATAAAGCGTTTTCTTGATTCTACATCAGGATTTGTATTGTCAATCACTACACTCCAACTAACACCACTTAAGTATTTTTTAGCCTCAGAAATACATTTTTGCCATGAGCCCAATGTATCTCTGTTAATTATTTTCATTCGGTCATGACAAAATAATTTATTTGATGCAAAATAACTTTTCCCTGAACCAGGACAGCCAACCATTATGATCATCTAAAAATTATTTTAATTACAATCAAAATATAAATAATTGCAAGAAGTGCTGAAGAGGTCTCACTTCTTTATTAGGGGAAAATAAAATTTTGGATGTTAAATCTGTGTAGAGGATATTAGACATAACGTCATTTGGATTAAATCCAGGTAGTGCATACAATTCATCAGTAGGTTCTTTTGAAAAATATTCTTCAGGAGTATAAAATTTGAGACCAATATTGATGGCAAATAAGCGGTCACAACAAGAATGATCTTTTTTAATTGGTTTGCCGTTGGGACTTATACGAGCAGGCCGGCCTGCTGCATCACCACAAAAAAAACTTTTTTCAATGTCAACTGGTAAACCTCCATTGTACTAAAATACAAAATACTAATGTAATTTCTTTAGTTATATAATAAAAACTATTGAGCCTAATTAAACACAACAGCAATGAAGTAATTTTATTCATTGATAATAGCATTAATATATAATATTTTTATAAACCAACAACCAAGTTGTACCAAGAATAAAAAAATAAAAATAACCTACATCAGAAACCAATATATTCCACATTCCTGGTGCAGGTTTTCTGTATATATCTTTTCGAGTGGCTATAAATACTTGAACTGGTGTTTGAATCACTTTGAGAATATTTTCAATTTTCTTTTTAAATGATTTTTCATTTACATTATTAGTCCCAATACCTCCTTGATTAGTAAATATCACTATTTTGTAACCTTCATCAGACAGCTTTTTAATAGATGTAGTGACTTGTGAACTATATATTTGCCAGTCATTCTCATCAACAGGGAAAACTTTACCAGACAAGGTAACAATAAGTGTTCCATCCATATCAAATGCTGCTATCTTGAACACCAAATACAAACATTAAAATAGACATTTTAAAACCATTAACAGTATAAATAAATTCACATTTACCTTATCTTTATGAACAATATTTGAACTAGTATACACTAATAATGTACCATCTCTAGTTTCCCATTTAGATGTAGAATCTGAGCGAGGTTTTTTTGGTAAAATTTCTTTAAATTAACATTATTATTAATAAATTAAAATTTAACTTATCTTAATGATCGATATTTAAACTATTATACACCAACAACATACCATCTCTAGTTTCCCATTTAGATATGGAATCTGAGCGAGGTTTTTTAGATGAAATTTCTTTATCTAAACAATTGGTTGTCCTTTTGTTGGAGTCTACACCATAAGTAGGAGGTGTAACGAAATCCAAATGATATGTATAATTGCTATTAAACAACAATGCCACTTTGTCTCCATGGATTAAGAGTCTTTTTTCCCCTTTAATCATAGATTCATCGTTAACAGCTGACTTGTTGCTCCCTAATTGTTCAACCAATACTCGAGCTGTAGAATAGTCAGCAACAAATTTCACTAAAAAAATTTAAAAATTAACAACATATCTATATGTCAATCAATAACTAAAGTTACGTACAACAAAAGTTTGTGATTTAATTTAATTAGGGATACCTACCAGAATCTAAAAAAAAATACTAATTGGATTAAATTAAAACTAAGTAAAGGTACATAAATTATTTTTTGTAAATGCCACAATATTTTTAATTATGTTTTCAACATTGGCTTCGGTCTATTATGAAAATAAAATTAAACATTAAATAACAGTTTATTAAAGATATAATAAAATATTTATAAACTAAAATATTTGATATATTTAGGTATCGATACTAAAACCAATTTAAAAAGTACTGATCCGAAGAAAATTATTTGGTTCCAATTACATTGAAAAAATATTGGTGTTCACTGTACATATTATTTGATTTTGTTGGTATTCATACTATTTTCCTGAACATTCAAAAAAAAAAACTTATCTATTTCAAAATTTTAATAAGCAGGTACCCCAGTGACATTTATGTTTATGGATATCAGGATAGACAGGATATAATTGTACCACTTCCGGGCTCTAGAACATCAGATAGGATAAAAGTGAATAAACTCATATTCTTGTAGAATAATAAAAGATTTATCACACAGATAAACATAATTCATTAGGAAATGTATAGTTATAAAATCATAACACTATATTTAATTTACTTTGATTTTTTGACATTCTTTGATCGACTATTCCAGTCTGTTGTGTTCTACCCAATGTTAAAGGTTCATTATCCAGAAGTATAAATTTTAGTTCTGGATTTTCATCGGATACCAATACACATAATGTGACATTGTCGTTGGTCTTCACCGACAGTTCTGACATATTAAACTGAGCAAAATATAAAAAATGTATTTAAAATGTACAACTGAGCTTACAGTTAAATATTTAAAATCTGTAACTCAAATACTGTAAATGGGAACTTTATCAAACATTTAAGCAATTCAAATTATTTGAAAATTGAACTCGAAAAATGGTGAGTACTGAATACTTTCTTTATTATCTTTAGTTGTGAAATACTGATAAGTAATAACTGACTATATGAATAATATATGATAATAGTGTTGATAAAATTGTCCTATGATGAAATTAAATTATTTTGTTAACATAACAACGGGATGATAACAAAACCTAAACATCACGGCTTTAGATAGTTCATCATTTTGCCAGAGTATAAAAAAAGCAGCTAGTTTTGTTTTTTGTAAGATATCTAACCTATTTTGAACAGTTTTGGGTGTAATAAACCCTTTTTCCATTCTCTAGATGTACCGCTAAATGCACAACATTGGGTGGGATATCGTTAATATCATAAATATTAAAACTTAAAATCCTCCAAACAGATTCATTAGTACTAATATGCCGTCCGTGTCTATACTGGGTTAATTCATTACCATCATTAACCATGTTAAAAATTGCTTGATCAGAACCCTTGTAAATATATTTAATTGCTTTTACAGAACAACAATACTCTACAGTCTACATTGATATCGGTATGCGCTTTGGATATTTTACATAGTAAAGGGCAATAAAGAACAATTCATTAATTGTCAATGGGAAATGTGGTAGAATTTTTTATTATTTCTGTTTGAAAACCGCCTTCATTTGGACTTCTCCTACAATATTCTGGGTGGTAATCGGTCAAAATATCCAAATCTATCCGTTTTTACGTAGATTAGTAAAATACACATTATAAAAATAAAAATAAAAATATATTATATAATATATAAATTACGTTAATAGTAATAATATCACAAAATACACTGCACACACATTAGTCAAATAGTCAAATAATATAAAATAAAATGTAAAACAATTTGTTTTTATGAATACAGTATACCTACACATAATAAAATAAAATAAAATATTAAATAATTTGCTAAAAATATGACTACCTACACTATTTTCTAAAAATTTAGAAAAAAAACTCATACATCATTGTAAAATCAATACATTCATCGTTCCGCTCAGAATCTACAATTTTCTAAAAAAATAAGCTCGTAAAATTAGTTAAACCTATATACCTACACTGCATCACTAATAGTAAAATAAATTTTGCACAAACATTAGTTAAATAGTCAAATAATATAAAATAAAATGTAAAATAATTTGTTTTTATGAACACACAATAAAATAAAATAAAATAGTAAATAATTTGTTAAAAAAATATAACTACTTACACTATTTTCTAAAAATTTAGAAAGACGTTTTTAAAAATAGAACATTTTATTTTAATTTCTAATAAGATTAGCAATAGCATTTAAAAAATTTGGAATGTCCCTACTTCCATCATTGTACTCTTCGCAAAGATGTTTTAACGTAGGTATATTTCCTTTTATTTTTCAATGGTGGTCCAATTGTACAAGTACCCAGTTGACGCTGCGCGACTTTGGTCTCGTCTGCTGCATTTTCATGCCGCATCTTAGTAATCAATGTCCAAATTGTTGGATGTTTGTGATTCACCTTAATTAATATTAAACAAATTATATTGAAAATTTTAATTGAATAAATAAGTACTTACTAAGTTTGATTATTCCATCCCTCACATACATTGTTAGTCCGATCTCCGTTGTTTAATGTTGCGTCTCTTACATTCCAGACAGATGGTGGAAAATGAGGAGATGTTTTTCGCAATTTTATACGTGTCTCCGATTGCACGTTCCCAACTCTTTTATACGACCCTACATATGTGCGTTCAAAATACTCGACCAAATCTGTAGCTTCTTCAGGTATGACACTTTTTAAATAATTTAAACCTTGAACATATCAAGCTATTTATAGACATTTATAAAATTTAAAATTTTTTATTCTTTTTTCTAAAAAAATTCTTCGACTCAAAAAGCTTGAAAATAATGTAATACAATGTTATTCATAAGTAAGGACTTGTGACCTAAAACGAAAGTGTGCAAATGCATCAAGTTCCGGGTCCTAGTTATAAGTGTTTAATATAGCAGTAGAAAAAAATGTATTTCTGTAGTTAACAATTTATAAAATATTGATGTAATTTATTTTACTATTAGTAATTAGTAATTTGAGATATTTGAGCTAATTTTATTAGTAAATAAAGTGTAATCTACTAATTTACGGATACATTTGGATACTTTGTCCGTGGAGATTTTGACCGTTGGATATTTTGTCCTTGGATATTTTGTCCTAGATTCATATTGGGTATCCACTATCGCTGGTAATAGTTTCCGAAATAAATGATTTAGGATATCTATAATAATGATAAATAATACAAATAAATTAAGAAATTGATCATTTTTATTTATATGTTATACCTACTGAACACATTTTTTGCTAAGAAAGCATAATCAAAGAATTTTTAAAATAATAATATAAAGCAAAAGTCACATAAAGACAATCAATCATTCAAGACCAAATTATAGGTCTTGTTAATATAAATTAATAATTATCTTAATCTTAATAATATAAGTTAATAATTATCTTTATTGCTATTGTTTGTTCTTATCGCCATCTACCGAGAGTTTTATTGTACGCCGCCGAAAACCCGGCCAGTGAGCAGCAATCTATAGTATTTATAATCAATGATAATACTATTATTAATAATTTCTATAAATTTAAATACTCTGAATAATATTCTGTTTCGAAATCTGAAGTAAAAAATGTATAGTGTCATCCAAAGAAGTAAAAAACTCGAAAACTGATGACGATATCATATTATATTACAATATCTACCATCTGTGGCAAAAGCCAATGAAGTAAGTCACTCATATCGGAGAGTGGAGACGATTCACATTTCTTAATTTCAATGAACAAAAGAGAAACATATAAGGCAACAGTAAACCGACAAGCCGTTAAACACAACATTCAGTAGCTTTTACTCACATATTTCATTCTGCTCAATAATTTTTATCAAGGATCTCGAACCTTTCAGTTCGAAGTGAGATGAAGAAAGCAGTTCCTGGATACGGTGTCTGCACTCTAGATATGGCACAGCTGTATTTATCCCGAAGATTTGATGGAGCTATATCCTATACTTAAGTTTGATTACGTAGTCTTTTGGGGCTTACATATTTTACTTTTTAGTCTTAAAATTACAATTTATTGCCCCAGACAATTTGCTACCCGAGTGACGTAGGCGCATATTTTTTATTCCCGAGCCCGCAACACAAAACATACGCTAAAAAACAAACGACGACGGCAAATTCAGGTCACAGATTAATTATACAAGTAAATAGGTATAAAATATAGAGTTATACAATATCATAGGCGAAAATCGGAGGGGGGCTAGAGGGGACTATTGTCCCCAGAAGTAAAGTACAGGTCTTAGCCCCCCCTGGCCATCACAGTTTTAATGTGACTAAATATCAGGAACGGAAACCTAAAAAAATTTGGTGTGTCGGTTTTGGTTTTTAAAACCGGTTTTTTATTACTATGGTTTTGGTCTTTGGTTAACACCGAAGACTTTGAAAACTGAACTTTAAAAAAAGGAACTTGGAGGAGTGATTCGTCGGAAGCCACGTCATTTTTACCATACGTTGTTCCTTACGAAATTGGGACTGTATAGTTTTCCATTTTTCGTCAACTTCTTGCTGTGAAATACCAAAGATGTTGGCAATTTCATTGATGAATCTGGGATACTGTGACTGGGATTCCAAATATTCTCACTTTGCTGTACTAAATCAATAAGTTTCAGAATTTGGTCTTGATTCCAGTCTTTTTCGGCAGACATTTTAAATTAATAGATTATCTGATCAAATAACACAACACAGCGTTCACACAGTAGTGAAATACGAGTAACGACTGAATTGGTAATTAAATGTACCCAAAAAAGAAAATAAACATTATAAACATAGATTTATTATTAAAATAATTTAAAGGATCATTCTTCAGTTTTGGATTTCCCTGTACAAATAAAATATTAAAATATGTGAAAGTAGCACGGTATTGGGCTAAATTTAATAATGTGTAATTATATAATTATATTCTCCACAATAATATAAATATATATCTTTTTATTATTATTAATTACTAAATACTTAAACTTCGTATGTACAATACGTAAAAATAATACGCACTATTTTAAATGTTGTAGTTAAAGTTTATACCTACCCAATTAATTCAATATAATTGGATAGGAAGTAATATTTACTTCTAAACAAGTGTTTGATGGTATATTATTGTTTTTGATAAACATTAAATAATAATAACTACCTAGTAAAAGTTATAGTTTCATACAAATAATGAAGTAAATAATAATATCTGTAGCCTGTAGGCATTTAATGCACAATTTAGGTATATTACTAGTTATTACCTATTTACCTATGTGATACAGTTAGTTTGTACACAATTTTGATAACTTTAACCATAGTTTTACTTATATTATACTCAGAAATAAGCCACGTTCGATGATAATAATTTCACTAATAATTTCAGTGCAATATTTTAACAAAAACAATAATTTACATAATTTTTTAATCTTTCATTCAGTATTTAAAATAAAAGTTTGAAGTTTAAATAAAACAATTATAATTCAAAATGTTTACCTATACTCTATAGGTAAGTCGGTAAACCTGATCAATAACTAATCATTCTATATTTCTATGAACTCTTTTAATGATAATTATTTATTCAAAAATACTTATCAATTTAAAGCTAAATTATAAATTTTATATTTTTAAGTATAAATTGTAATTTATAACAAATTTGTTGTCGAACACATCCACACTGATGACGATGTTGGCAAATATTTTCTTTGATGTTCGTTCAAATGCCGCCTGTTGAGCGAACATTTTAGAGTTGTTCGCTCACACATGCGAAATACGTACAGCTTAGGTAAAACATTCTCAACGAACATGTTCGAGAACAATGTTCGTCCTAGCGTGGACCCGACTGAAAACATCGAATGCTGGACTTTAAACGTTCTGATGAAAATATGAAATGTCCAGACTCAAGACAAAATTTGACTAAAATAAAAATATATCACGACGTGTAAACTACTGAACTCGTGTGGAAAAAAGTATTTTAGAAACGTAGTGTGTACAATTTTGTTTTGTGAAAAAAATACAAGAATTGAAAAATCATAAAACACGACACGTAAATATACTATATAGCATATTATATAGGCTATAATTGGTATTAACGGGTGCTAATCGCAATTTAGTTTTCATTTTAACCAATATGAGCGCTATATGCGGAAACAGTCACAGATCACATGACTTTTTGATTCAAATCGAATGCCATGTACGGGATAGTCGAATTGCACTTATTACCTACAAATGAATGGTCGAATTGCACTTGGATTGAAAAAAGGTAATGGTCGAACTGCACTCGTTTAAAAAAAAAATTAAAACGGAAAACCCGTTAAAAATATTGTGAAGAAAAATATGTAAATGATGGTGTTAAATGGCGTGGTACTTATCGTGGTTGTCTTTCAAAACTATATCTAGATGAATTTTCTAAAGTAATTTTTCGGTTTGAATTGACACATATTCATGAAGAACCACTTAATTTACCTCGGAGAATGATTTCAAATTCAGCAAAGAAAAAATCCCTTCAAATGCATGATAATTTTATTAAAAATTTTTTTGAGCCCAAGTGCAGTTCGATCACTACCTGTTTTTTACCCGAGTGCAGTTCGACTATTAACTTTTTTAAACCCAAGTGCAATTCGACTAAAATAAGTGCAATTCGACCATACCCGCCATGTAATACCTAACATTTTCTAATAGGTCGTTGGGTAACCACTAACCATACTACCTTACATCGTGGCCAGTATTTATTTAAAATACAGAATTTATTTGAGTATTTACCTATTTTATTAATACATCAAGAGATTTTAATACAATTATTTTATTTTAAAAATCATATTAATTATTGAATAAAACGGTGCACATAGTTTGGAACAAATAATTCAGTACAGTTTTTACCAAAGTTTTTTGGTCAAGTCTCAGTAAATATTTTATAATTTAAAAAAATAAAATAAATAGCATTTCACTATAATAACCATAGCTTGGATGTAGACCTAAAAAAACAAGGTGTGTTAAATTTCAACTTCGCGATGCTCAAGACCTTTTTGCACCCCAATAGTTGCACCAATGCTTCTTACATCATAATATTGTTGTTACATAATTATTATTATAATGTTTTCTTTCACGTAATTTATTGTATCTATTGATTATTTTGAGTGGAAAGTGCATACCCTACAGCATTATATAATATTCTCTTCAGTACATTTTTTTCATTCATGTGATTTAACTAGCTTTTCTAGAAGATCTTCTAATACAGAGGTCTGTGAATATACTTGGACAATAAATAATAATATATTTTATATCTATGCTTACTGCTTATCTAAATAGAATTAGTTCAGTCATTCAGTGATTAATTTGGGATATTTAATAAGATGATATATGTATTTATAAGAATCAATAATTGGTCTTTTATTGTCGAAGAATAGATTAAATTTAATCTAATCTGTGGTCATCATAGCCTATTGGTTTATAGGCTTAGTGTAATTAATTTATACCGGGGGGGGGGGGGCTATAGTATATAATGTTTCGCATTATAAAAGTATACGGTGATGGGGGAAGGGGGTGTAAAAAAATTACGTGAATCTAAAGTCCCATCCAATGTCCTTGGTGGACATAACAGGGATATTGCTTGATATAAAAAATGAAAAGAAGGATGCAAAAATGTAAACAAATGTGAGCATTAAATAGGATATAACTTGGAGAGTCGATCCAAAATATTTTTGAAGAATATGAGATTTCTCCGCGTTACCTCCTTCCTTTGCCACCAAGCACGGATAATCACTCGGATAGTCGAATTCCGTTTTAAAAACATTATTTCATAATATAGGTACCGATATCATAGACTTACTAATCAGTAATCTATTATAGTTAAACATAGTATCATTAGTATCAATATGATAATTGTGTCTATGTTCTGTAGTCGTTATTATTTAGTCAATGGTTTAGAGTCTATGGAAGTATGAACTATAAAGTTAGTGTTAGAATGCACGATTGCTTGTTTGCGAAAAAGTGTTCTAAATTTTATTTTTTAATATTGTATACTGTAATAAATGATAAAATGTTTTACTATCCGTATGTATCATCGTTTTGGTGCCAGTTTTTCGGAAACTGTGACGTCGATTGGGTATTTCCAATTTCGATGGTGTCGATATTTCTAAGTTCGATGATAAATGATAAATATAATATTCTATTATTAATAAATGATAAATAAATGTCTAATTCTGTATAACATCATTGACAATATATAATAAAATTATATATGGTTTTAATAATCTGACCACCGTGAACCGGAAACCCAATACGACCAAAAACAACACATTATAAATTATAATAATATATTGTTTACAGAGGAAGTAAGAGCAATTCGTATCTCATTCAGCCAGCACAGATGCAATTACATGATTAGCATGTGACCTCATGCCATGTCAAAGCGCAATGTCCTCGTTCTAACAACGGACCACGTTTAATTCATCATACATCCAATACATGAATTTTGTATACTGTATAGGTTATAACTTTATAAGATTCGAATAGTTGCGTTTCGATAATTTGATTGAATTCAATACAATTAATTAATACGCTTGATATGACGTAGTTAGTATGATAATAAAAAAGCACCCACACATTCGATCATCCATAATCGGTTTATAATATTTTTAATCATATAAAATAAAAACACGTTTCATTGTTTAATACGAAATATATAAACACATAAAAATATTGTAGGGCATTTCAATTTTGATTCGTAAAATATATACATACATGCGGTACAATCGCGCACAATAAGACTATAAGTAGTAAGTACTAGGTACAACGACAAAATAATAATAATAATAAATAATAATTAATTATATAATTATATAATAGGTTTACCAATAATAAATAAAAAATATTGTCGATGGTAAAATAAGTATAGTAAATAATTGTACTAAATTCTATAAACATACAGTATAAACACTAAAAACACATAATAATTAAAGTTAATGTTTATCATAAATAAATATTAAATCCTAGATAGGACCTGCTTATAATGCGCAGTATCTATAGGTGGGCGCCAGGTGTTACTCGACCAGCTTGTCGGATTGTGAATAACTTATGGGATATCAGTTATGATTATGACAAAGAAACATAAGCATTGGCGGAAATCATTGGGGGGGGGGGGGCAGCCCCCCTCTCAATAAAAAGTCATCCTACCCTTCTAAAACGATTGGTAAATAATTTAAACATTTTAGATTTATGAATCTTGGCCACGGAAAACGGTGATCAATAGATAGATTTATTTAAAAAATAATAACTAAATGTATTTAAATATTCAAATAAATGTTTGGTTGAACAAAAAATTTCTTATTTTTTAACAGTTCCGTAAATCACGTGCACTCGCTATAGTTCACTCAAAAATAAATTAAATTACGTAGTATTTCCTCCCGCATTAGAGGTGCTTGAATTTTTGGATATTCTATGTAAAATTATTTATATAAGTACATAAACTCAAATGCTTTAAATTCAATATTTTATACATTTTCATTATTTTGATGTATATAAAATAGTTTCCACATTTTCGAGATATTGATTTCCTTTGTATTCACAGATGGTTAATTCATTAATTAAGTACCATTTTATTTATTATTAAATTTTAATAATATTCTTTGAGCGAGAAATAGCGAAAATCGCTAATTTAAAAACAAATTTTTTATCATATTATTATAGAGGTATTATTTTTTGCCGATTGCCCCTTCCCCCACACCTAATAATTTTACCAGATTTCCGCCTATGAAAATGGTCAAGTAGTATCGTCCGTGGTATTCACACAATGATTATTTGGATATTATGTTCATTAACAACAATAAAAAATATTCTAATAACTAGTAATAGTTAAAACTAACCGTAAAACATACGGTTTATGACAAACGTGCTTATAGAATGGTTATAGTCTAATATAGTATTGTGCTTATGGCTTCAAATGGTTTGTCAGAGGAAAACATTTTTTACTTAAACTGAAACTCGGACATTACTAAATGCTTTAACCTATTGAATTTGGGATTACTGTTTACAGTGTTTTGAATTTCATAAAGGTGTACAATTTTATCTAAGTTAAAACTAATTTAATTTACCCAATTAACATTATTTTAAGAGATTTCAAATGGGCATAACTTTGTACCCATACATACCTATATTTTTTCAATACTACATTCATAACAATCAAACTAATAAAGCAATACTATTTTTCCAAGTAGGAATATCTCACGAAGTTTACCGAAATTTATGTGGAAGGTGTTGGTCCAACTTTTGTACAAAATTTATGTGAAAAAATATAATTTTAATTAATTGATAAAAACTTGAAAAAATAATTACTCTATAATCAACCAACACGCAGCAACAGCAAATAAATTATGACGGACAACCAAAGTTTACTTCATACTCACATTTGCATTTACTTTGTCAGATATACTTAAAAATGCATTATGCATCTTTATGCAATAACGACAAAATGTGTAAAAATATGCAAATACAATTTTAAACATAACCCTCTTGTGTTATTAAATTAATTAATTGTCATCAGCCAGATTTTTCTACAGCTTTTCAGAAGTCCTTATAGCCCTAATAAAGACAATTAACGAATGACAATTTGTTTTTAGAAGTCTTCTGATAAAAGGATCAAACTGTATGATTGATGAAAAGTAGGTATATATTATATTTATTCGTTCAGCAAAAAAAAATGCTGTGTGTATGTGCATGATAGTTGCACGTTCTCATACGCACACTAATGATTATTTTAAGTTTTAAAACACACAATCAACTACTCTCTCACACTTCTACTTTATATTGCCTATATTAAACTCCTTAAAAACGAACCGTTTGAAATAATATCCTTAATAACAATATAACAATAAATAAGTAGTTGGTAATTCAAAGGTAGGCACAGTATTGGGACTTGTCTCAAAATAATTGTTTAACAATATCATATAATTATTAAACCTATAAATAATGAGTTTTCTCAAGAGAACATAATATTTTGACGATCCGTTATTCTCTTAAGACTATAGTTATCGTTCAACAGTATTGCAGTTTGCCCATTCTATAGAATACATAAAGATCTGGAATCAGCCTTATCACTAAATATATATTTTATACATTAGGTTTATTTTGTATAAAATTAAAAAAAATACATCGCTAATCGTTGTAGCCTATAGGTATATTCTCCGGCCGGGCCGCCGTGTCTTGAGCTTGGTGGAATGTTGGCGGTCTCCAACTGAAGTTGCCTAACCGTACTTGTTCAATCTAATGTCATAATTCTGTAGTTTCCAGGTTCTTCACGGTGATTCTAGTCCGTTCGTAATAGTCGTCAGTACTGTCCGTGTGTATGTTACACTCGTTACTGCAATCGAAAACCAATTCAAAATCTATTTGAGTATAATAGCAATACGCGTTTGCTCAGTCGTTGTACCAACCTTTTGATAAATAATGTAGTCGTTGATCGCTCTATTGGCTGAGGCGACGTCGTACTAGTGGTTGTGTTGTCGTCCAAAGAGTCGCGCTCCGACGTTTGACTGTAACAAAACAAGTAAAATTAACACCTGTGGTTATTGATCTATAAACAGATCTGAGAGTTTTTTTTTGATTATGAAGAATAATCAAATAAAAATAAAAAACCTAATAAATCAATATAATCAGATATTCTGTACCATAGGTCAATTAGTATCTACCTACACGAGAAAGATTATGTTCAGGAGTAAAACAAAAATGTACCACCGTATTTGTAACTTGTAAGTTGAATACTATCAGTTAAGATACTGTACTTTGTAGTTTGGCGATCATAACATACTCGAATAGTACGTAATAGAGATGTCGAATTACCTTAAAGTCTCTCTGTCTTTGTACCATTCGTTTTCATACGCCTGCATCCACATAGGATTTGATCCTGCCACACTGTGCATGTTCGTATTCGGTACGCGTCCACCGATTGCGGCTGAATTAACATGATCTGGAGTTCTAGGGTCTATACAACATCGACCAAATAGAAAACACATATTTGGATATTATTTATAATATTTTAAAATTTTAACTTTCAGAGCTTACCGAATGCGTTTATAGTGGCCGCTTTCAGTTGTCTACGATAGTTCGAACGTTGGGACAGGCAAATGGATACGACGACTATTAATAGTAACCCCAAGAAAAAAGTGGTTCCGACCAACCACATCCAAATCACATTGTCATCTTTCATTGAAGCTCGACGCAGTGGTTCCGGCTCAGCTGCTTGTGTATCGAGTACGTTGAACTCCTAATGATAAATCCTCATTTAATATTATAATCTCATAACCGGATACATTTATTAAAAATAAAATTACTTTAAATAACGAATCTAGATGCTCGATGTTTTCATCTATAATCCGCAACACATGTGGAACTTCCATGATGGAATTATCTTGATGATCGACGAAATGTAAGTACATGTCCGATCTTGTTTTGTCTACTCTCCCGTCTTGGGTTTCGTGAACTTTGTACTCATCAACGTTAACTACAGCTCCAGTAACGTTTCCTAAGATTCTATTATCAAACAATACGATCAACGATAAGTTCATTGTCAATTATACATTACATTAATAAAAACTTTAAACTTACTCTCTAAATATTTCAACTTTCTCCCGTAGTTGCGATGGATTTTGTCGCACGACGAACCTGACTCTCTGGTCTTCGCGCAACAAATATATGAGTACTCGTGCCGTATCATATAACCCACCGGTGTCATTAACTACCACTTGAAAATCAAAGTAACCTTTCATTCCCTTTTGAGGATCAAAATTTAAATATATTGCTCCCGTAGCTATGTCCACCAAAAATGGGGGATATTGTATGCTATCCAGTCCTTCTGCTAGTGATACTTCCAAAGAACCAGGAACAATGTAGTATGACAATTCAGCATTGTTTCCTTTATCCGCATCGATTGCCTAAAATTAAATAGTATAAGTGTGAAATATTGGTTTATAATAATCACAGTAATTTTCTATAGCGAGGTATCAACACTATATTATTACTCCTACCTTTATTTGCATAAACTCTGCGCCAAAATCTGCTTCTGTAGTCACGCCACCCGTAAATACTCTTTTCACAAATTCCGGTGCGTTGTCATTTATATCGTTAACAAAAACCAAAACTTTAAGTAAACTATCATCATCTTGAATAAAACCCTGACTCGGTGGCGGAGAGTGCAAACAATCTTCGCTAGCTTTCACAAGTAGTTCATAGGTTTCTTTAACTTCACGATCGAGTTCAGAAGCAACCTGTAGATCATATATAGATAGGAATATTGTTTATTCAAATTATTTCATATAGATATTTTTTTTTCTTACAGAAATCCTATGGTTAAGAGGTTCAACAATAAATCGGTTTTCATCGTTTCCAGATATCACATAGTAACAAACTGGAGGTGGTGTTTTTTCTAAATCGTTTAATTCCTCTCGATCAACTGTATCAATAAGCTGCCAATATTCAGATCCTGGTTCACGATGTTCTAAAATGTATACAAATAAAATATTCATTAGGAAATTTTTTATTTTTGTTTTATTAGTTTTACATAAATATTAACTATTATCATGAAATATAAAATTACCAGTGAAATTTACGGTGATTTCATCAATTAAGAATCTAGGTTGAAAGTCATTAGTACTCCGCACGTGAATTGTAAGTTCTAAATCAGACGATAGGGGTGTTGGTGTACCAAGATCATAAGCTTCTATACGAATCTATAAACATGTGATGAATAGTTATAGAGTAATATATTTAATATTGTAAAATATAAACGTAGAACTCAGCTAGGTACCTGGTAGGTTTTTTGGATTTCTTTGTTCAATGATTTTTTTAATGTGATTAATCCGGTTATCTCGTCCACCAAAAATGTCTTCCAATCACCCATTAGATCCTGTTTAAAACGATACCTAACTTCTGCATTTTGGCCGACATCGTCATCAATAGCTTTCACTGTAATTACCGGGCTTCCAATTGTCATATTCTACATTTAAAAATAAAATCATTTATAAACATAAACAATAAATTATCTATTGATTTACTTACTTGAAGCAACCTAACGGTTACATTGTATGGAGGCGACACGAAACGGGGTGCATTGTCATTGACATCTGTGACACAAACGTTCACGGTGGCTAAACTTGATTTTTGAGGATCACCACCATCCTGTGCTCGAATAAGGAGGCTGTAATTTCCATAGAGGTTTTTCAACGACGAAGTTGTATATAAGCGACCAGACCAATAATCAACATTATGTAAACCGAATAACTCTAAAAAAAAAATGTATTACAAATCATATTCCTTCAATGTATAAATGTACGATAATAGTTCTGTTTGTTAATATTATTACGTTATAGTTATAAATATAAATAATAGTTGTTACCAACCTCTTTCATTTCCATCTTCGATAGAAAACATTATTCGACCATTAACCGTGGTCGGATCATCTGCATCTGTAGCTTTTATTAATAAAATCATATCACCAATGGTATGAAACTCTGTGACAACAACGCACTCGGAAGGTAAATGGTCGAACAACGGAGCGTTGTCGTTTATATCGGAAACCGTCACCCTGTTTATATAAATGTAATTAAAACAATTGTTTAATATAAAATATGCAATGTGACGCACGATTGGTACTCACATAATTTGTTTGAAGGCGTTCCGACTTTCGCCGGAAATGTATCCGAACTGATAATTATCCCATGCCTCGACAATTAAATTATAGGTACTCGTCTGTTCTCTATCCAACGTATCAGCTACTTTCAATACTCCGTTATTTGTATCAATTGTAAATTTACCCTGAAAATAATAATTACTAGTATGTTTGAATATTATTCTCAATTAAAAATCTTTAACATTTTGATTTACCTGTGATGATAGACGATCTAATAAGTATGTTATTTTACCAAAATCGCCGGAATCTGCGTCCATTGCTGTAATTATAGCTACCGACGATCCTACGCAAATGTAAACGTCATAATAAGTTTTAATTATTGTAAAATAATTATCATACATACCGATTGGCGTGTTTTCTGGAATTGTTATGTTGGTGGGTGTATCTTCAATAAAATATGGATTGTTATCGTTTTCATCGATTACACGTAAAATAACGTCTGCAAACGAATACCGAGCTGGAACTCCGCTGTCCGATGCTCGAACACTAACATTTATCCAATGTACTTGCTCGTGATCGATACGACCAGCTACGACAATTTCCCCAGACTCGGGATCTAGTCTAATTAAATCTGTGGCATCCATTGACGAATCTTTAATTGGTGAAAACATAAATTGGTGTTAAAATGTACCGTTATTAAATTTTAATTAAAAAAAAATCAATTAAATAAATAAACCTTCTATCGAATAATGGATTGTTCTGTTTTTATCGGCATCGTCTGCCATCACGGTGATAATAGGTACACCAGGTTGGCTATTTTCCATCACAGTTCTTTTATAAAACTTTTGACGGAACACTGGGTCATTATCGTTTTCGTCATCGACATGGACAATTAAAATAGCTATTGAAATGAAAAATATAAATAACATTTTTATGCAAGTTAATTAAACCAGCTACGATTTATGAAACGATTTACGAATATATTCTACGTTTTACTTACTTTGAACAATTTGTTTGCCATTAACTGCAGCAATGTCTTCTACTACGAGTGCTAACCGGATAGTTTCAACTTTTTCTCTGTCAAGTAGCTTGCCCACTCTTAGATAACCATCTACGGGGTTTAAAGCAAATGCCGATGGCCAATCATAATCTGTCGGTCTAATGATAACTCCATCTTCATTTCTAGCTTCTGAAGCGTTCACATCGATTTTATACCTCAATACCGGTTTCGCATCTGGATCTTCTGCTTCAACTTTCTTAATTACACTACCAACCTAATTAATATATAATAATAAAATATGATTTAAAACTAATCTATCGATGGAAGTTTAATGTAATAAGTTACCCACCAATTCGTTTTCTTTCACGTGAACCGGTTCCATTTCTTTGAAAAATGGGGGCTTATTATTTACATCTTGAATTTTAATTGTTACGTTTACAATAGAACTGAGTTGTTGGTCTCCAATTCCTCCATCAATTGCCACTACTTCTAAATAGTATGCATATGTCTTTGGTTGAGTTTTGTCTGGGTCCAAAGATGCCCCATGTGCAACTTTTATCACACCTGAATATGCATCGATCACAAATTTATCTTCTGCTCCACTACTAAGTCTGTACACTACAATGTTGTTTGGAGCAGATCCATCTTCATCCCAAGCATTTACCTACACAATTTTATACCATACACGAATAACAATGAAACCAATTCAAAATATCTTGAAATATATTTACATAATAGACGAATATGATCTTAATTATTTTTAATATTACCTCTAATACAGTGCTGCCGCCAACTAAATCTTCAGAAATAATTGTTTCATAACTGCTGCTTTCAAATGTTGGTCCAAAATCATTAACATCTTCTACGTATACAACTACATGAGTTTCATCGGAAAGCGATGGCAAACCGTGATCTTGTGCTTGGATCACCAAGTTGATTGGTCTTAGATTTCCGTTAATATTGTTAGTACTCTTTCGATTTTGTAGCTTTTCAAAGTCTACTGGCCTTATAGGTTTTAGAACGCCCGTAACGGAGTCAATTGAAAAACATTCAACCGGATAGTCAGAATGCAATATGCGATATGATATTTCCGAATTTTTAGTGCCTAAACATTTAAAAACAATGAAAATAATACAGCTAGGCTGGGGTTCTACACAAACATACCATTTAAATCTAAATCTCTTGCTTCCACGGTCACAGGTGATTCGAAGATCAGATGATTTTCTTTAAGTCGTGTTTCATACTTAGAAGAAAGAAATCGCGGTGAATTATCATTAACATCTTCCACGTTAATAATCAACTGAACAGAATTTCTATTTCCTAAACCTAAATCATCCCTTGCTTCGATTGTTAAAAAGTGTTTAGATATTTGTTCTCGATCAAATACAGGTCTGTCTGATTTTATTATAATTTCTCCAGATTCCGCATTTAGTTTAAGACTATAATAAATTAATATGTTATACACATTTTCTTATCTTAGGGTGGTAAGTTTTACTTACAAATCTGCGCAACTTCCTCTTATACTTGTATATCGTATACCGCTTGTTCCAAAGACACCAGAATCTTTATCGGTGGCTTCAACTTTCCCAATAGTTTTACCCGATACAGAATTTTCAGAAACAAAAACTTCATAAATAGGACGTGAAAACTCTGGGTAGTTATCATTAACATCTCGAATATAAACAGAAACAGGCACAACACTATATTTTGGATTTTTAGCTATTGTTTCAATGGCGACGATTGTAAAGTTAATAACTAAAAAAAAATAATGACAATAACAATTATCATCTACGTATAGACTAGTCATGTTAGGTATATTGTAAGGTTTTAGACATATATTAAGTTTCATCATACCCTTAACAAGTTCATAGTCTAAATCAGCTGTCCTATTCACACGTATCAGAAATGACGCTTCGTTTATTCCTTCGGAAGGTGTAATATCGAAGTATCCAATTCGTCCTTGTTGGATTCGTAGACGGAACGTTCCATTTTTACCTTGATCGTAATCATACACTTGGGGTATTGAGTCTCCAATAAAATTCACGGGGGTATTTTGTTGGGCATTTTCGTTAACTTCGGCAATATATTGAGGACTACGAAATGTTGGCGTTTCATCATTTACGTCCGTAACGATTACGGTGACTTCTGTTTTTGTTGAAGGATTAGGGAACACGTTCTTTGAGTCTTCAGTGGCCTAAAATATTTCAGACGAAATACAACAAAACGTAATTACAATTAATAATTATACATGAATAAATAACTATTTTACAGTACCATAATCTCAATAATAATGGCACCAGTTTTAATAATAAGTGGATCCTCCCGATCCAAAACGTTCGTTGTGTAGACAATACCAGAATTTGGTTCAACTTGTAACATTCCATTGCCCCCACGTGTAATTGAATACACAATGCGGTTATCTATACCACGATCTCCATCAATTGCTTTCACTAATTATCAAACCATTTATTTAAATTAATTCATAAAACATGATTCCTAAACTATTATATATTTTAAAACGTTATCAAAAAAAAAAAGACAAAAAGAACCTTGAATTATTGATGTCCCTGGTGGTGCATCTTCGCTTACTCTTGCTACCGGTGTTACAACAACGAACTCAGGAGGTTGATCTTCGACATCTTGAACTTTAACAAATATGGCAGCTGTGCCGGTTTTCCTCTATTCATTAGAAATATGGGTTTATTAGTTACATTGAGTAAGCAAATTGTTATAATAATGAAAAAACAATTAATGGTTTTAAATTTTAATATTTAATTTTTGGTAGTGTAAAATCCGAATACTGCCATTAATACACAAACCTTTTCAACGGTTGCACGATCAATAGCTAAAATTTTCAATTGATGCAGTGATGTTTTTTCATAATCCAAGCTTCCCACGAGGCGTATTACGCCTTGGCCATTTACAGTAGATATAGAAAATAAACTACTTTCTATTGAATCCGAGTCTTGTAAATGATAAACCACCTACATGAGTAGTAATTAAGTTCAATTATACTATTTTATAAAGTTATTAAATATTATTAAATGGTGTAGAAATATAGTCTATGTTACGCAATATCGATTATATTTGGTCACCCTAAATAGAGGGATTCGTTGAGTCATAAGTTGTTTACCATGTTTTACAATGGTCTAATGAACACTATAATATATATTTTAAATAGTGTTCGTACACCATATAGTATACAGTGTAAACGAACTTGAACGAGGGTGATGATCGTCAGACCGTGAAACCCTAATTTGTTGCTATGTTACCTGTCCATATGGGCCTTCATCTGCATCGGTGGCCTCAACCGTTGCAATCACCGTGGGCGGACTGTCCTCTGGTACAAATATTGTGTTTTGATATGGCTTAAATATAGGTGCATTGTCATTTATATCATCCACAATTAATAGAAAACTCTGAGTAATGAAATTTCCATCTCCCAAGTGACCATCAGTCAATGTCAACACTAGTGAATATTCATCTTTGGTCTATAAAATAATCTCGAAGTATGAATATAGTTAAACTAAATAGATATTTTAACATTGTATGTACAGCTGTTGTACCACTGTCAATTACCTCACGATCTAATTCAATTTTTAGATAAATATTAGCTTCACTTCTGCCAAAATTTTCAACTCTAATAACTTTATCGCCTGGCTCTCGGACACCAAAAATTAATTTGTCAGCATCGGGATCAATACCACGAACTCGATAAATGAGACTCCCTGATAACAAAAGTCAGAGTTACAGGTAAATTTTTTCTCACACGGTTATAAGCGCATAATAAAATTTACTAACCGATAGGAGTTTCAGGACCCTCTTTCAGCCGAACAATAATTTCGGTTTGCCAGTCAGTGACAAATTGTGGGGGCTTGTTGGCAGTAGAAAACTGCACTAATATCACTACTAACAACCAATATATTTTCCAACCATTCCGATAGACAACCATATTTCGTCCTCGGTCGATGACATTATTTGCCGTTTTTCAACTTGGCATGTTATTACGATTAAACCTTGTCGGTTTTCATATCTGAAAAAAACACGTAAATATTAAAATTGACTAAATGTAATATATAGGCGATACAAATATACAATATCGTTATTTTTTGATCTTATACGGACTTCCCGCAAGCCGCGGGAGCCACCTTTATACGACGGCGTTTATACGTAAACGAATATTTCTATAGAATTGATTTCCACGGTTCATTATTTTATCGATTTCAAACTTGTATGGTTGTCTATTATGTTGGAGAGAAATAGCATTCACGTGCATTATTGTCACCGAATATCCACGTATTATATAGTCGTTATTTTATCATATACAGTTAACGCATACACGGCAGAGGAATCGGGGCCGCCGAAGTAATAAGGCCTGGTAAATCGGTAAACAAATAATATGGACGAGAATGTGATGGACTCTAGATGGTGTAAATGAATGATAATGTACCTACTAAAAATATAGGTTAACAACGAGATGCCTGCAACGGTTGAATGATTCACAACATGAATGCTGATGAATCACGGTGACTGTGAAAAAAATTAATATATAATAATAATGTATACATTTTGTATAGGTACTGTATATACAGCAGCCACGAGGATAAACGAAATCTCTACTACATTGTACGTGGGATTTGACGAATCCACGGAACATCTGCTTTCAAGTTTCGTTGATCAACAAATGAAACAAGTCACGGACAAAAGTCCGAATTTTTGTCCAATTAGTGAGACGGCAAAATGATTATAATTTTTTTTCTATTCGCATATTTATCCATCGATAATTTTTAGAGAAGCAGGTGTTGATACGTTCTACTTTGTCCGGCTAATTCACAATCCTGCTTTGTCACTGACGGAGCTTACTGAAGGAAGAAAATCATTTAAGTTATATATTCATTTTTAAAAGAGTGGGCTTACAAATAAAAAGAAAACACTTACAAAATAACGATTACATAAAAATAAAAATATACGACAGATGGCTTTGACTTAAAAAACACAGGTGTTGTTAAGAATGTTATGATAAACGTTGTTCTTGACAGTCGACAATTCTGAATATTGTGTTTTACACCGGAAAGACTAAATGACTGTTGTACACAGAGAAAGTGTTGACTAAAGACTAAATTGTATGTCCAAATGTGTAAAACTTTGAATTTATCAATGACATATTATTGTAAATTTATAAATTATTATTAATGATTATATATTCATGTTTTAAATTTGTTTTATTACTCGTAGACTTTGACGATCTCATTGGAAATTCAACTATATATGACATTTTAAACAAATAAATATATTTTTATAAAATCAAATAAACAAATCTAAAACTGGTATATCTGAAACTTTTCGTATGATTGGAAAGCATGATGGAAAATGGTTACCTATACCTAAAACTATTTAAAGGTTTAAGATCATAAACTCATAACTATTGTCTATTAACTATCATATACTTACCTTATATTTACATTTTATAGTGACAAAATAATAATCACGGATACCTACTACATAATATGAATTATAATTACTAATTAGAACCTTATTTTAAAGTTACTTATTATTTTTACTATAACTGAAAGGTATGCACCAATATCAATATATATAATATATAATAGTAATTTGATTGTATATATTGTCTAAATTTGATGGAAAGTATGACATATTAATTTATTTTGTTCCAGTTACTTTCTGTAGCATATACATTACATTAATTTAAAATTATTGTCATGGTTGAAGATAATTTACGTATTATAATATAATGATGATGAACTAAAAGCAAATATAAAATAACACTAAGAAATAAAATAATTGTATCTTTTAATAAACTTGCCTATATATTAGCAATTGGAACAAATAGCTATAGGCTATAATGAGCACAATTTATTTTAAAATAAAACTTGAAATATCATCGTACTATTCAAATACAATAATCTACATAATGTCATAATCAAATATTTTCATTGACTCGTTTGAATTATTTTGTTCAATAAGACTATTGTATAGAACTTACTGGTTATATTGCATTATTAGTTAAGTCTAAAATATTTTAATGATTATTATATAATAAAATAAAATATACATGAGTAATTACTATAATTTGTTTTTATTTGCCTACTCGGCTACTCCAAAAAAAAAATATTTATATTCAAAGAGCGAGAACTATAAGCAAGTATCTCAATAATTCTATTCCATATTACAACTAAATACTACATGATATAAAAACCCAAAACCCATTTTCACAAATAAAAAAGTTGTAAATTGCATACATACCACTAAGAAAAATAAAAATATTTATTCATTTAAAGTATTCAATTTTTTTTTTTTCTATGTAATATGTAATTTTTCTGTATCTATCCGACTTTGTGGTTTAATATTCAGTACTCAACATGGAATACATATAAATACCTAACTTATTTAAATGATTTGATACACCCTTATAATAAATTAGTCTTGATTTTCGAAATTTATTGAACAAGTTTAAAACTTCTATTTTATAATTATTCACTATACTACTCACATCATCGAAATACTTATTTTTGGTACGTTATACTTGAAACTAACCTAACCTAACCTATATAAAATATATATTATAATGAAGGTACATGTATTATTATTATTAAATACATTATAACCTAACCTAATCTAACCAATTGGTATGCTATATGTGTGATTCACAATTGTTGGAAATCGTAAATAATTAATACTAAAATAATGTAATTCTACAATTTTTGTGTAAGTCAACTTCAATACTTCATATAATAATATATTATATTGTATGTGTACCTACTTTCATCTGTTCATTTTTCACGTAGACCTATACATTCAAGCGATCTTGCGTAAGTCACATGAACGTTTATAATCGATATTTATCTTGTTCCGTTATTATTTTTTTTTTCACAAACGTAAGAGTTATCCTCTGGGGGTGGAGGTGTATTGTGTCGTAACATTATAGAAAACTAAGGCAATCCGCTAACTATGAACTATTCAACTATAGATGAATCTAGGCGCCGTGCATCACGAATACGATACAAGGATATAATAACAACAATATCTTCTTATTAGATTTACGAAATAAGAAAATAATATGTCGCCATGACAAATCGATGATATACATTTTACCTCTTAGGTAAGAATTCAAATAATGGTTAAAACTTACAATATTTTCATAAACAATTTGACCTACATTTATTACTCTTTAATATGAAAACGTGTTAAGTAAAAAATAAAGGCAAGAGCAATTTCATCCAATTTAATAAATTAAATAAATGTATCGTATAAGGTATACCGTTAATTAATTCGACAAAATATTAATTATATATACAAAGATATATTACACATGAATAAAATAATTTATTTTTAATCATTTAATTAACTGTACATGTACCTACTGTTTTGAGTGAAAACAGTTTAAGTTTCTAAACCACAGTGCTTAATAAGCAACTTCAAATGGGGTTTAAATACAAATATTATATAGTTAGTAGTTATGTTCATTTTTAATATTGCTAATAGAATATCTTTAACTTTTGTAGGTATTATATAAATGATAAAAACGATTAACGTCCACGTTCTAAAAAGAACAATAATATTTAATCTAATGTTCAACAGTAAGATCGATGATTATAAATTTATAACCTGTATAAAAGGTTTATATTAGCGGCATAATCTAATAGAAAACAAAACCATAATTATTTAAAAAATAATATCTTATCCACATAATGCAAATTTAGGATATAAAGACACATATAGTATTGACGTTTATTATATAAGTATATAACTACTATTGACATTGTTACCATTGAGAGACTGATCAAAATATATAATTTACTTATTGTCTCTTTCAGTTTCTATTTAGGTCCATGATAATAGATTTAGAAGATCATCAAGTTATAGTTTATTTATTTAGATTTTATAATTTGAAAGAACTGCCCTTGTATAAGTAATAAGTACTACATCAAATATATACCTATTTTTATGTTTTTGTAAAAATATTTTTATCCCTAACAATCTTCTAACTCAGAGACTACTCGTTCAAATTTTGATTTAAATACATTATCAACATTTTCAAAAAAATCATTTGCTTTACAGTAAAAAAAGTTTATTTTTATTTGAGAAAAATAAGTTTGTAGGTATCGTCACTAGACACTCTTAAAATGGTACAAAAAATATATGTATTTTAAAATTTGGGGGAGTATAATTGGTGATTCATCGTGTGTATTGTATTTTACGTACGTATTGGCTACTACCACAACTCCATTATTAATGCAAACTTTTAGATCATATTTTTTTTGATAAGAACTATTTTTATCAAGAGCATGTGGTCAGACTAATCATTAATGGAGGGTTCAAAAATCCATCTTGACCATAGAAAAGTAACATTGAATATCAAAGACAATTTTCAACTTGGATAAAAAGAATGAATAATTGAATAAGGATGTATAGTATAGGATATATATGTAGATGCTATATTAAATTGTAATTTGTAACAGCCATAAAAGTGAAGACAGTAGTTGAATAATAAATGATAATAACGAAATAAAACCTTATAAATATACCTATAGGTACTTCAGAACTAGCTCTTCATTTATTCTCACTTTTCAATCGAATGTCATCGACTTCGGTGTTTTAAATCACACCACAATCTTCAGTTTCATTTTCGATTTTTACATTTATCATTGAGTATAAAAACTGTGATAATTTCGTATGAAAATAAACCGTTTTCAAATTCATTACCAACAATAATGTATACTACTATATTATTATATTTAGCAATATAGCATCGTTATTATAATAATATTATAGCCATAGGTCAAAGCGTACATATAATTAACTAGCTATAAGGACATCACGGCAGTTTATTTTTTTAAATCTTGCGCATCGAGTACGTACCTATATTATTTTGTACGCGGAGTCCCATTACATTCATTATACCTATCTCGGGTGCATAGTTGTCGTTTACGACGTTCATGTGCAATTTATTAAGTAGGTACAATAGATTGTAACACAATATACTATATATATATTCCTACGACAGGAGACTGT